AGAGACATGGGTGGAGTGTCCGGCGAGGGCGGCGGTAAAAGTGTCGGGCAAGTCCAGGGTCCAGGTTGGATGGACCCTGGCGAGGGTGACGCTCCTGAAGGAGCGTCTCCCTCAATGTTACCGCTGCCTTGCGAGAGGGCACCTGCAGCGGTGGTGTCCTTCGGAGGTAGATAGGACCCACCGCTGCATGAGATGTGGCGAGGAGGGACACCGGGTGGCGGAGTGCAGCGGGGCAGAGTTCTGCCCCGTGTGCGCTGCGAGGGGCCGCCCTGCCGCGCATAGAGCGGGAGGCCCCACGTGTCCACCGGTGGCCCCTAGAGGGAGTACGCCGGTAAAGGCGCCAGGGGTCGGGAGTGTGAGGGTTCCGCCAGATCGGAGCCCTCCCGTCGACAGAGCGAGTGAGCCTGCCAAGGCTCCAGGTGTCGGGGACGTAAGGGTTCCGCCAGATCGGAGCCCTTCCGTCGACAAAGGGGGAGAGGGTCCCATGGAGGTGGACCCGCAAGGGGGGCAAAAGAGGCAGAGGGAGGCCTCAGAGAGCCCTCCCATTCCCTCGACGAAGGGGAAGGGGCCCAAGCGCGGGAGCCGTGGAGGCTCCTCCGCCCGGGCAAAGTCAGGGAGGCGATAGGGGTAGGAGACCGGTAGGGGTCGGGTCCCGTATGGGGACATAGCCTTTGGGGGGGTGTCGAGAGTATGTCGGCGTTGACGGTTCCAGGCACCCCTCCAGGTAGGCAGGTGGAGAGCGGGAGTTGGGGGAGTGTTTTAGGCGGTAGGTCATGTAGGCTGTATCGGGTAAAACCGATCGGTCTGCATGAAATCCGTCACGCACGTGGTACCGGGCCACGTGTGTCTTCCCCCTCATGGTGGGACGAGGAGGCCTCGGCCGAATCGTCGCTCCATGAGGGGGTTCACGAAGATTTTTCTCCTCCGCGCAAAACAAAAAAAAAAAAAAGGTTAAGGTTAGGTTAGGTTAGGTTAGGTTAGGTTAGGTTAGGTTGAGTCTCTCGTGAGTAGCGAGGCGTACGGACGTGTCTTTGTGCCGCTCCGTCGTCCCTGCATGCGACCGTGCGGAAATAACGCGTTTTCCGCGTTGAGAGTGTGTCCACCGTGTGCGGCGTGCGATCCTGCGTTGTTACGCGGAGTTTGGTGATCGTGAGTCTGTTAATAGCCAGGAAATTAACGAATTTCTAGTCTCGTTAAACGTGGCTGCATGCGCCGGCCTAAGATGGCCGTCATCTTTGCGCCGGGCACACCGCGGTAGCGGGAAGGATAGTATCGCTTCGGGGACCTTTTTAGGCCCTGGCTATATAGTGCGCGCTGTTATTTTAGTAACGAGTAATTTCTTCGGCCCGCGATATTCGGAAATCGCTCCGGAATAGAGCGAAACATACGCGTCGTTCGGACGGGGTGTTACATAAGTGACACGTACTCCGAAAGACGCGGGAAGTCACCGACGGCGTATAGGAACCCTCTTGGTATATACTGCCATTAGTGAGTGTAGTGCGGAAACGTTATTGCTGGTGCGGAATACTTGCGCGGTCCGGAATTAGCGGATATATTATTCTAAAACAGAGGCGAAACGTATCGTGGTAGTGTACTGTGCCGGGGTATGTACTTTTTGTGCACTCCACCTCGCGTGGGTTCATGCACGTGAGCCCTTAGTGCGTGCGCTATCTTGAGTCTTTGTGCTCTGTGGCGGGCGCGCCACGTGCTTGGTGGGCGATCGCGGCGGCGCGTATTGCGTCACGCTGGACAGCGGTCAGTGCGGAATAATTGCACTTGGTGCACTTGGTGCGAGGAGTGACGTGCCCGGTGGAGTTGCACGATAGTGAACGTGTGGCGGCGCGCGCCGCGCTTGTATGCATGACAGCTATGGCCGCGATGGCCGTGACTTCTGCTTGCAGTGATATATGGTGATGCTTCGCATGCGACTTCTTGAGTGTCACTGCTTGTTTGCATGCATGGTTAATTAGGTGCAGTGCCACGGGCCGGCGGTGGCTGGACAGCTGTTCCTCCGATTGTTCGGAGGGCCTCCTCTGCCCTTGCGGGGCGCCTTGCGGGCCTCTGGGATCCGCGGTCTCCCCTCGCTGTTACAGCTAGAGTGGACGTCCTTGGGGTCCAGCGCTTCTTTTACTTTGGCCTGCACGCGTCCTGTGCCCACTGCGCCGGCTGGATAGCAGTTAAAGGTAGGAGCAGTGAAAGCGCCGTTGCCAGGGGAATAGAAAACTTTCGCGCGGCTTAATGAGAGGACTTGCGCTCTTACAGCGCTGTTACAGACGATTTACATAGTGATCCGAAATGGAAATTATACTTTTTGTATGTTAGTCTTGATCTTTACTGGAGGGACATTCGTATTCTTTACGCGAGAGTGGTGAAGACGCCACGCATCGCGTATGCGGGCGGTCTGTGTTGGAATCCTACGTGGCTATCAACTACGAGAACTTTCAACAACAGAATATAAAAGAAGTCACGGAATTAGACCTGGCAACGGGTGGCATAAAGTAAATATTAAATAATTAGTCTTGTGTGCTCCTGTGAAACGAATGCAGCCATTGCACTAAGGGGCTGGCATCGGCACACGAGTATACGAATTCGCGCCTGCTTGCGCCGTCGGGTGGCGGAAGTGCGGAAAACGTGCGACGAGAGGAGCCCATCAGCTGAGAGGAAGGAAGCCAGGGCGGAGCAGAGCGGCGCGTGTACACGCGTGCATAAATTGTTCCTGTCCTTTGTGCCGTGCACTCTTGCGTAGTGAGTAGGGCGGCCTTCTATGCTGCATATGCGGATTCCGCTCTAGGGACCATACTCATGGGCACGTGCGGATGTGTTCGCGAGGAAACGCGACTGTGATTATATTATATTTGCGTGGAAAACATTGATGTCCTCTATTACAATTATCCCTAAAATACGATATATTATCTTTAAATAATATTACTGATAAACAGATAATATAAAAGTGCCTAAACTCAGAAATATTTATACTGCGGGGATATATGCAAAGGACGGGTGATTGCATTTGAACGTGACACGCATACGGAGTACAAACTGTTTAAACGGTGGAAATTGTGCTCTACTTCCCGTCACTAGTTACGCGTTTCGGTGACTTTCGCGGGAGGGACAACGTCCCGAGATAGCCTCTCTGTTATGCGAGTGCTTCACACAGGTGACAGGCGAGGTTATGGTGCCCGGGACAGATGTCTGGATACTGGCGGAGTAGCAGATAGATGACTGCTACTTGATACCTTATGTTTAACTGTTGCATGTGTGATGTTGACTGCTGCTTTCTTTCATTCGTGTACAAATGTTAAGAGGGCCGGTATTGTAGCAGAGAATGCAAATACTTAATTATCTGAGACACGATTGTGATAGAAATACACTGCCTGGTCCTGTGTCACGGCTGTGGTTAGAGGTGAGATAGCGTTGCATCTGGGGCGGAGACTGCGATACTCAGTTACTAGAGATCTTACGTTGAAGTCTACACAATGATACGTGGCGTGCGGAAACAATAAATCGTTGTACGGTCATGATATGTAGGAGAGAGACTAACTAGAAAGTGTCATATTAGTTAACTCGGGATGCGTATTTATTCATACTTGAATACATATAATATGTGGTGGCTGTACTTACGGTGCTGCTGCACCTGTGTACGTAGCATAGGTTAAGGATAGGCAATAGCAAGAGATAGTTAACACAGAACGCACAAGTAATATACAGATGCCACACTGCGGGGGCTTGCGTGCTGCCGCTGCGTCTGCATGCACTGTGTGACCTGAAAACAACGTTAGAAACAGTAAATATTATCAATTTATGAATTATGATAAATGGGATCTGAATACGACTTGTGGATATGATTTAAGCAAATCTTACCAGAATAAGTAATAAGCGGTGTTTTCCGGTAGTTTATTGGAGGGATACGGTGTAGTGCTGCGGGGATGCGCATGCTGACACTTGCTGGTGCGTGCTGTGAGATCTGGAAATGAGTTGAGGCATTTATTAGTGCTGCTTAAAATAAGTGGAAATAAGGGTGCATTGGCACGACTCAGAAATATTTTAATATCTTAATAAAGTGGGAAACAAGATTAGTGTCACCTGTTATATTGTTGCCGGGGCACAGTCTCATGCGCCGGAGGCAGGCGCACTACTGCTGCGTCCGCATGCGCTGGATAGCCTGGAAACAATACCAGAGATGTTAAAAATAGCACTATTAAATAATGACAGATTATATAACCTAAGAAAATCTAAGTGAAATAGGTAATAGATAAATAGAATTATCTGTAAGCCAGCTGCGGGGGTGGTGTCACGCTGCGGGGATGCAAACGTTGTCACTGCTCCTATGCATGCCTGGAAGAAATAATATTAGAGATATAGAGATATAGAGTATTGTAACGATGACAATGTGAACAAGAAGTGACTTATAAACGTTACCTGTCACTAGCGTAGATCCATAGACTAGCACCGTGGGGATGCAGGTGTTGCTGCTGCGCCTAAGCGTACTGTGTAAGCCTGAAAATAACATAGAGATACTGATTGGGTCAACTCATGATTAATGTGATTAATGTAAATAAGGGGTGACTCAACTGCAGGGACATAGTGTCGCATCGTGGGGGTACATACGTAGCTGATACGACGGCGCGTACTGTTCAGCCTGAAACAATATCAGAAGTATTAAACACAATTCACTCACTAACGGAAATAGGGGGGTGGAAAGGCCACTACGAAATAAACGCTGTTAAATATTATCATATTGCACTGCGGGACTGCATGTGCGCATGGACAGATAGGACTACAGAACAGATATTGAAAATAATTGCAGGAGATATTACTCTGAATGCACAGACATGTAATATAGCGTTAGGAAAGGACATCCCGTGTGCGAACTTTATATATTAAAACGGTGTGCGGATGTGACACTTTTATATAAGGGAAAGTAAAAGAAAAGTAACTGATCAATATTACTACTAGCCTCGTTATCCTCTTCGTATTGAAGTGAGATCTTGGGAAGAAGAAATAAAGAATACTACATTAGCAGGAAATCTTAGTGAAATGACGCTAGCTGGGAATGGCAAGCCGGCGTGCTCGCCCACCGTTTGACAGGTGAGGTTAGGGCGCCCGCGCGCGGTACCGTGTGTAGCATTGAGACTAGATAGCATAGAAAAATAAGCTTGCTGACGGCGTGAGCCGTATATACGTTGTTTTTGGACTGATATTACGTACCGTGTTACCGGGGTGACACCCGTGGCCCATAAAAGCGGTTGGGTTGCTTTACCCCGGTCTCGGATTGAAACGTTCTTGGAGTCTGTATTTCCTTTCTCTCCTTGCACCGGGGGACGAACCTGCGGGGGGCGAGTTCCAGGTAGGCTCCAGGCTCGCCAGCCCGCGGCGTCGATGGAGTTCCTGACGCCGATCAAGGTGGGTGACACGGGAGTTTCGGCATAGAATAACTGGATTGTAGTGCGCGTGCCGACTCAGGCGGTCTGTTCGGTGAAGCGTGGATCATACAGAGTAAAGTAGAGAAACTCGATACACTGGAGCATGGCTTCCCCTGCATGGATTGAAACAGTATAGATAGGATTAAAGTGTCGATTTTGATTATGGCATAATGCCGCGTTTACAATGGGTATAGAACTGTTCCACAGCTGAAAATAAATCGTAAATAAATTAAGTGACAATAAAGGCGACTGCTTGACCGCGATTGGACATTGGACGGATGAATATATTCTACTCTGGTACATATTGGAATTAGAGTTGAAACCCGTGAATTAATATAAAGGGCCGGGAAATAATAATACAAGATCAGCCTGAGCCGGTCCGTGGAATAGCTTTGTTGCGATAGTTAGTGTATAATATAGATCAAAGACAGTGTACTGGCCAATGGAATTGTTACTTGGGAAGAGTAAAAGATGAATATAATAGTATAGGGAAATATATTAACTAAGAATAGAATAAGCTAAGTATACATAAATAAATAAATAAATATAGAGAATTAAGTTTCAGCCTTAGGGCAGTATTTACAACTAAACAGTATATAATATAAGTGAGAAGGGAAATACATATATTAATTCAGAATAGGATACGATAAGCTAAGTATATAGAAATAAATAAATAAATATAAAATATAGAGAATTAAGTTTCAGCCTTAGGGCAGTATTTACAATTAAACAGTATATAATATAAGTGCCTTAGGGCAATATCTACAACAAAACAGTATATAATACAAGTGTGAAAAGTGGCACTACGTAATAGGCATAGAGTAGGAATACTATAGATAAGGAAATATATATCAGAACGTAGAGAATTGTAACATGCGTCATTGACTTTATCCTGCAACAATATTGCAGACTTCGGCGCGAACTATTATTAGTGAATTGAAACACGAGAGGGATCACTTCCCCCTTAGTGCTGCGCCCTTGTTAGGGTCTGCAACGCTTACTTATCGGGAAGAGGACTAGAAGAGGATATTCAAAGGATTACACTATCATCACTTTTTTCGCTGGCCGAGATTTCTCCTAGTGCGGCCAGTGTATTTGGAGACGAGAGCGGGCCTACTCTCGATAAAAAGCCTTCTAAAATAAAAACTCATGAGATGACAACAAGAAAAGAAAAAACCCCCCCAGGGGATCGGAACCTTGGGGAACGGCGCGTGGGGGAACCTTGTCCCTCTCCCCCCGCGTCGACATCATGCGCTGGGAGTGGGGCGGGGGCTACGGCGAGGCCTCCGCTCAAAAATATGATCGTCCAGGTGGAAAAGGTTCAGGTGGACCTAGCGAAATATGGGTTGCGACCGGGGACAGGGAGCGAGAAGCCCCCTGCCATCGCAGCGAAGGAACAGCGGGAGACAAAGGAATCCAAACCAGCGTCTCCTACTCCGAAGCCGAGAAAAGCCAAGGAGAAAGCGGAAAACCAAAATAAGAGCGAGGAGGTCGAATTTGTATCGACTTATGCGATGCAAATATCCAGGCCCACGACGCCTGCGGATGAGGATGTGGAGTTCGTATCGATGGAGTCGGCGAACAAACCAAGAAGGAAATCAACCTCTTCGGGCTCCTCGGATATAAACCTACCGAGACGGGCTGGATTGAGGGGAAAAAAGAGACACGCTATCAGCTCGCCTGAGATGGATCGGGATGAGGATGAAGCCCCGAGAAGCAAGTTTTCGGACTCACAGAGGAGAGAGATAGAAGTAAGGATGGAGAACCTAGAGCATCTCTCGTCGTCGGACATTGCGGCTCTATCTTCGGACTGGTTGAGGGAAACCGAGCACTGCCGTAGCATATCATCGAATATTAAAGGATCGTTAACCAGAAAAATGAAAGTGAATATCGGGTCGCTGGCTGAAGCGGTAAAGGTCCTGGCGATGAGATCGTCGCAGGAGGGTGACGTCGGGTTTCTCAGAACCAAATTAATGGACATGCAGAAAGAGATCACTGGATTAAGAGAGGAAAACGAAAAACTGAAACTGCAGATGGAAGATTTACGATGCGGGATGAAGATAACGGGAAGCCCAGTAGGACAAGCAGGGGCAGAGTTTAGGGATATCGCCGGCCCATCCATCAGGTCACCCGAACCTCCGCGAGAGACGGGGATGGAAATGAGCCCAATAATGGCTGCACTAACAAGGGCGGAAGAGATCGCGAGACCCTCTCCGAGGACAAAACAGCAGCGAGCCTCGCCTAAGGCAAAGGAGGAGGTAATGGGCGATGGTTTCTTCGAGAAATTAAGCACCACAATCAGCAACTCAGTGGTAAATGCTATGAGGACGCAAATGTTAGTAATGGGAGCTATGGAAAGCGGTAGGAGGGAAGGTGCCAGACGCCGAGATATCCAGGATCGGCTCCGGCAGGTCGAGGAATGGGAGATGTCTCCAGCTATGGCGGAGTCCCCGGCCATAGAAACTGAGGAGGATGGTGACGAGCGTGCAATGGCACTTAGGAAAAAAGATCGCCAAAGCCGTGCGCGGAAAACGCGAAAAGTGGATGTTAAAAACGTAATAACGAATAAGAACAGAGAAACTGAAGAAGAGCCCAAAGGGAGAATGGAATTTCCCCCATTGCCGGCGGTAAGGGATAGAAACGCGGACCTACAACAGATACCGGGTAATACTCCTAAGATAGCCCCCCCGAGAGAAGTAAAGAAGAACACAGGGACGCCCCGCAGAAGGGTACCCCGTTCGTCGGCCATAACAATTTCGTGCCAAGAAGGAGGGTTGACATACGCCGAAATCATACGCAAAGCGCGCGAAGAAATTAACCTTGAGGAGCTCGGAATACAGGAAACGAGAATGCGGAATACGGTCGCTGGGGGTGTCCTCATAGAACTGCCTGGAGAAAACACGGCCGCTTCAGCGGATACTCTAGCTAAGAAGCTGAGGGACGCGTTTTGCGACACAATGGTGATGATCAGGAGACCGATGCTGAGAGGCGAATTAAGGCTGGCGGGCCTGGACGCCTCGGTAACCCCGGAGGAATTAAAGGGAGTGGTTGCGCGTACAGGAGGGTGCGACGAGGAAAACGTCCGTTTGGGGTCTTTCCGGTTTGCCAGAAACGGGCTGAGAACAGTGTGGTTGCAGTGCCCACTGGCAACTGCCGCGAAATTGGCTGAGGGAGGATGGCTACGCGTGGGATGGTCAACTGCACGAGTGGAGCTCCTGCGTAGAAGACCGCTGCGGTGCTTTAGGTGTCTCGCAGCGGGACACGTCCGGGACAGATGCCCCAGCGAAACAGACCGATCGGACTGCTGTTTCAACTGCGGAGAGAGCGGACATCCGATGCGAGATTGTGGCAGAGCCCCGAATTGCCCAATCTGTAAAAGTAAGGGTATGCGACATGATCACAGAGCGGGATCTGAATTCTGCCCTCCATGCCCACCGAAGAAGGAACGGCCTACGAGCCCAAGGAGTAGAGGGAAAACAGCAAATCGGAGCGAGACAGCTGATGACCAAATGGAAACGTAGACAATGAAAGTGATACAGATAAACTTAAACAGATCCAGAGGAGCACAGGATCTGTTGTCTCAAACTATGTTAGAGTTGGGCTGTGGACTGGCGTGTGTGTCGGAGCCGTATCGCATACCGAACGATCCCAGATGGGTGCGATCCCTGGAGCAGACCCCTTTGGCTGCAATCACATGGACTGAGCAAATATCGTCGGAGGAGATTAAAGTCCTGAAAAGAGGCATCGGGTTTGTCGTGGTCTTATGGAGGGACCTTGTGGTGACATCGTGTTATTTTTCGCCAAACAAAACTAACAACCAATTCAAGGTATATCTAGCGGAGATTGGTGAGGCTGTAAGGGCACATAGGGGCGGAGCACTGTTGATCCTTGGGGACTTTAACGCCCGATCCCATTTGTGGGATAACACACACTCCACGGTACGAGGGGATACTATCCTGACGTGGGCGTCGACCCTCGACCTCAGGTTGCTGAACAACAATTTTGTACCGACATGTGTAAGACCTCAGGGCAAATCGGTGGTGGACCTCTCGTGGGCCTCCCCGGCGGCCCTGAGTATGGTACGTGATTGGGAAGTAGCGGAAGATACTGAAACCCTGTCAGACCATAAATATATAGTTATGGATATTGGCGGTAGCGGCCAGAGGGGTCGGGACACAGAGATAGTCTCAAAGAATTTTCCGAAATGGAATAGGAAAAGCCTAAAGGCGGACCTATTTCAGGCCAGTGTGGCTGCGTACTTTTGGCCCGGGTTAGATAATAACAAGAGTGCGGAGGAACAGGCGGCAAGCATCCAAGAAGCAATAACACTAGCTTCGGACGTGGCCATGGAGAGGCATAGAAAGGGAACAAAGAAAGCCGTTTATTGGTGGAACGAGGAAATCGCGACCCTCAGACGAAGATGCCTGGCACTTAGAAGAAAGATTACCAGGGAACACAGAAGGCGACAAGGTGCGAGCCCGGAACTGGAGGCGGAGCTCGCATCAGCGAGAAAAGCCTTAAGAACGGCCATAAAAACGGCAAAGAACTCGGCATGGAGAGAACTACTGGAGACAATCGACAAGGATCCGTGGGGACGTCCATATAGGATAGTGATGAACAAAATGAGACCTGCAAACCGTCCGATCTGCGAGGCGCTCCCTCCGGGAAAAGTACTTGACATAGTATCGGGTCTTTTCCCACATCGAGAAGAGGAGCTGGACCTAAGACCAAGAAGCATTGTACTCTGGGAGGAGGACTTTGCCGTTACTCGTAAGGAGGTGGAAATGGCTGCCGCCAAGTTGAAACCCAATAAAGCGCCGGGCCCAGACGGTATCTTGGGCGAGGCCGTGAGGTTGGCGATACCGGATGGTGCCGAAAGGATAGCCTCCTGCTTTACAGCCTGTCTGCGCGAGGGGACGTTCCCTGCCTGCTGGAAGACCGCGCGGCTGGTACTACACAAGAAGCCCGGAAAACCCGACCTGGCGCCGTCTTCATATAGGCCGATTTGTCTCTTAAACGAGATGGGAAAGCTCTTTGAACGGGTCATAGTGAGAAGAGTACGAGACTGCCTATCAACGGGAGTAGGGCTTTCGGAACATCAGTTCGGATTCCGTGCTGGGAGATCAACGGTGGACGCGGTACTTAAACTGCGCGAAATATTAGAACCGGTGTACGAGGAGGGACGACATGCCGTCGCGATATCACTAGACATATCGAACGCCTTTAACTCCCTGGTATGGGAAAGGATTCGGGAGGCACTAATAAATAAAGAGATCCCAAACTATCTCAGAGCCTCAATCGAAAATTACTTGTCGGATAGATGGATCTGTTTTGAGGACAATGACGGTATAGTAAGAAAGATCCAAATGACATGCGGAGTCCCTCAGGGATCCGCCTTCGGCCCGGAAGGTTGGATCTTTACCTACGACGAGGTTCTACAGCAGGATATACCTGACGATACTAAGGTCTTGTGTTTCGCGGACGACACCCTGATTGTGGGCTTAGGCGACAATCTAAGGGAAGCTAGAGCTAGGGCCGAGTACGCCACGGCGGTGGTAGTTAGGCAAATAGAAAAGTTAGGGTTAAAGGTCTCGCCTCAGAAAACTGAGGCATGTGCCTTCTCGCGAGCCCACAGATTTGTGTACGAAGAAGCGGTGTTGGTTGGAGGCACACTGGTTCCACTCAAGGCGGACCTCAAATATCTTGGACTAACACTTAGCAGGAGGTGGACCTTTAAGGAACATTTTAACCGCTTACTCCCCAAAGCGGAAAGAATGACGCTGGCACTATCTAGAATTATGCCTAACCTCAGGGGGCCCAATGAGCATGCAAGGCGCCTGTACTGTAACGTGATCCATTCGGTGATCTTATATGGTGCGCCGGTGTGGGCCTTGGAACTTCGCAAGGATAAGAAAACCACGAAGGCGATCAGGGCAGTCCAAAGAAGGATCGCCCTTCGAGTTATAGCAGCTTATAGGACCGTGTCATACCCTGCCGCTTTCTTGTTAGCGAGAACTATTCCCATAGATTATCTAGCAGACAAATACAGGGACGTATATATAGATACACGCGCGATACAAGCTGAAGAAATCTGCATTACACAGCGAATGCATGACCTCATCAGAGAAAGGGCCCTAGACACAGCCCTTGGTAAGTGGAAAGAGGAATATAGGAGGCCGGGGCCAACGGCAATAGAGGTAAGGAGAGCCCTCGTTCCACATCTGGTACAATGGTATAAACGAGGACATGGGCACCTGACATACCGTATGACCCAAGTCATTACGGGACACGGATGTTTTAATGATTTTTTACATCGTATCGGAAAGGCCCCTAGTAGGGAATGTTCGTTTTGCGATGACCCGTGTGACTCAAACAATCACACGTTAAGTGGATGCCCCGCCTGGACAATCGAACGCCAGGCCCTGTCGGAGGCGGTCGGCCCAGATCTGTCACTGGAACAGATCATATCCACAGTTTTGGAATCTGAAGACAAATGGAAGGCCATGGGAAAGTTCTGCGAAACTGTAATGAGGAGAAAGGAGGAAGCGGAGAGAGAGAGACAAGCGGAAGCCCAATTGGAGGGGGTCCTCTTCGAGGACTCTTGGGAGGAGGATGACGACTAGGTCAGCGAATGCGTTTCGCAACTCGCTTCTTTCATCCATAGCGGACGTCATTTTTTTTTTTTTTTTTTTTTTTTTTTTTT